ATGTTTTCACACATATAACCATGTAAACTTTATATTTCATTATTATCAGAACAGATCCACATAAAAATATAAACTAGAATAATAATCCATCATCAACTTTGACCATTACCTTGATCTGTTTTTGTGGCTGGTTTCCAATTTTCAGCACTTATGATGGGTAGGCATACTTGGCCCTTTTCATCAATGTTTGGATGATAAATCTTTGTACGAAATATGATTTTTGGGGGTTTAAATGGGTATTCTGCAGGAAATATAATTTCAATGCGGAAAGCTCCCTTGTTATATGGTGGATTCTCCTGTAGGATTTGTAAAATATTCGAGCCACATTCAAACAAGCTAGTATTGGTATTTTCTTATTTAGAAAGGTCTAATTTCCTTAAATCATCATTTAACAAATTTCTCTAGTTCCTTCACAAAAATTTTCAATTATAATAATAAATTAAAACACATGCACAATTAACACTATTTTAAAATAAACATATAAAAACTGACTAATCCAATTAGTACATTTATTTGGAATAACAGTTTTCTTAATGTTGTCAGTCTTCAAGGATTACAGAAGTTTTATATTTTCATCACATTGTATTTTATTATTAGGTACAAAAGAAGAAATAGTACGAATAAAAAAAAAATGATCTGTTACTTGTTGAATATTTATATAAATATATATATATAATTTTTAAAGGATAAATTTCTGTTTCATACCCTATGTAATGGTATGAAATTAACATTTTTCCTTCTGAATGAATTCAAGAGATCATATTTTATGTACCATAAATATACTACATATACTTCAGTTGATTAAATTTTAGAAGTGGATGAATTACTTTAAAATGCAAGTTCCTGCATTTTATTGACAAAGACATATAACATACAAGGATAAACCTGCACTGTTGCTCAAATACTTTTTAAAAGCCTACAGCTTATTACAAGTCAAATATTTTTAGCATAAAGTATGTACTACTTCAGTTAGTATTTCTATTTCTCAAACAATCTCTGATATGGATGATTACTTACATAAAGTAAAATATATCTATGTATACTATCTTTTCAAATTGTATGCTTTCTTACTCAGGAAAAAAAAACAAATCCATCCATAATTCACATGTTTTTGGCAGATATAAGATATTACTTAAATCAGGATATATTACAAATACATTAATCATTAAAAAGAATAACTTACAGGCAAAATTAGACCTTGCCATATTAAGATATTGGTTTCTTCTACATGTATATTTCTGAATGACTTCATTGCTGATTTCCTTAAATCCTGTAGTTCCTGCATGTACGTTAAAAAAAAGGAAACATTTTTCAACAAAAAGAACAAATAATAGCACTGAAAGCTAAGCTTATTTATTTGAATAAATTTTAAAAGGGAATTTGTAAGTTGTAAGTGACTTGGGTAAAGTTATTGTAGTTTTAAGTTGGATCAATGCTGTTTTGAAGTATTAAGCATTAATACATATACATTGCTTTACACTTTCTTGTATTTAAATATAGCATCACTTTCTTTCAATCTACCAAAGTTACACTGATGACTTATATGAAATTACACGGTAGCTTAAAAATATACATATACATTTAATGTGAAAACTTAAAATATATGTAATAAGCAAACAATCCTGTGTTTGGCATTTTAATAATTAACAAAATATTTTGTTTTACAAGAAAAAAAGCATTCATCACAAATATTTTTACTGGAATTCTAAAAAAAGTATTTACGCAGGTAGAATAGAGAGAGAAAAAGACTGCATAACTCTCCCTGACTATTTGTCTAATCCATAAATATGGAAGATGAATATGTTTAAGAAATATATCCTATTTTAAACCCAATACATGTACCTTAACATTATTAATACAACTGTACAATATCAAACAGTGACAAATAGCTTTGTTTAACACTGAAGACTAACACAGTTTTTAAGGTAGGAAATTCATGTTTATGTAATATGTTACTTACAAGATGTTTGAGAGAGGAGGATTGGGTGGCTAATTCAAATGAAAAAGTTTGAAATGATTTGGTTTGTTTAATCACATGAAAGGATGTGTATTTGTGCTCCATTAAATTGTTATTATTAAGTAAAGAGAAAAAAAAAGAATTACCAGAACATGAATTTAAGCAGTAGAGTGGTCAATTAAATCAAGAAAATTACAATGCTAAGAGGGATTTATGAAAGTCTCTTGGCTCAATACATCAAGTTTGATTTAAAAGGAAGCACGGCTGTTGTGAAAAGCTAGTCCAGAACAAAATATTTATTTCACTTATGGTGACGAACAGTATGTTTCAGAAAAGCTACAAACACTTCTAAAGAGTAAAACTTCCAGCCCTGCTATGGTTTTAGGTTAACTTTTAGATAAAGAAACTGTGGCCATGTTAGTTTGATTTCTGTTATTAGCAAAAATTTTCTATCATAAACAACTTATAAAGCACTTGGAATGATTCTCTGTCATCTTATGTACCTTCCACCTTTTTTTTTAAATAAAGTCATCATATTTCTTTTTTTTTTTGCTTTTCTTTCAGGAACCTCAACCCAAATGCTCTACAAATTTTTACTGACCTCAGCAATATTTCTTTTCTTAAACAAAATAATTTCTCACCTCTCTTTCATCAGCCTTAAATCCTACTAAAATAACATCTTCATTTAATCATGGTTCAGTAACACTAATGAAAGCCAATGTTATTAATTGGAGCAAGTTATTGCAATAAAGTTGTAATATTAATACAGAAGTAAAATATCTTTCTATTCCTCTGTGAATAACTAATCTCGTTACTTGAACAGACTGTTCAAAGAATTTCCATCATCTGTGTAAACTCAGTTGCTATTTGACTATTTATACTGATTAAAATGTCTTAGAGATTTAGACAACAAATGCCTATTCATCAGGTGTTTACATTGTGACAAAGTTGTTTTGGAATGTTAAAACCAAGAACTTCTCCTTTAAATGTTTAGACTGTAAACATATTTCCTAGCTTTTGAGCAATTGAAGAACAAAAACAGGTGTTGCTCAAATATTCACAACAAGAAGTATTTTTTTCATGTCTCTAGCGAAAAAAAGCCTGTTCTATATTTGCTTATTGTACAAGTAAATAAGATCAGTAATAATTTTTTCAGTGAGACAATTTTCCTCAAATACAAGATGCTTATAAAAAGAATTATAAATGAAACAAAAAACAATTACTTTTCAGTTGTTTCTAACCAAAAAATCCTATTACTTTGGGGTTTATACAGAAAAACAAAAGTCCTTTGTCATAGAAATAAACCCGTTGTGTTAATATTAAAAAAAGTGCTAAGGATCTTTACAACAAAAGCATCTCCTTTGTCTGTGTGTGTGTGTGTGTGTGTGTGAAAAAAGAAAGCTTGCTTTTAGGAATATGTATAAACAATTTTTTTCTGTATAAAGATTTCCAAAAGAGAGAAAAATCTTGTTTCTCATAATTTAGTTCAAACCTTGATTATATAAAAAAAAGCAATGAAGATTTTTACCAGAAAGCTTGTTGCAATATCTCACAGTAAGTTTAATAAAAAAAATTGGTCTTTAGATCTTTACAAGTAAGAAAATCTATCCTTTTAGTGTTTATAGTGATAAAAAGCTGTTCTTAGGGTGTTGATGAAAAGTCCCATTCTACAAACATTTTGAGAAGTTTTTGGTTCATTTTTATCACATCTTTATTTTGAAAATAGCAAATCATTTTTTGTCTTTTTTTTTTTATAATATGAACGTAAAAGTAATGACTCTCAGAATCTATTTGGTTAAATAATAAGTAATATTAACTTGTTTATGGTAAATAATATTTCTGCTATACATATAAAACTACCCAGTTCTTCTGTTCTTTACATAAATGAAAAATATAGGCCTATTCATTAATATCCTGAAACAGTTTAGTTTAAATTCAACAGCTTAGAACACAGCTGGTTTGTAACCGTATCACATTGTACCCATCCCTTTACCCCTAATGTTAGTAATAATACTCAGGGCCACAAAGAACTTCCACAGGGAAGGATTCTTATATGCACACCCCTTCCTCCCTGGACCCAGATAAGAATGTACAAACTGACTGTCAACAAGTTGAAATTTGTGATTACTTAATATAATAATTTCTCCAATCTTGAATTAAAAGCATGCACTATTACATACTATCTTGACAGACTTGCCATGGCATATGCATCCTAATCACCTATTGTGTTTTTGTTACACATTTAACAGATGGATATCATATTTTGAGGATTTGAAAGACCAGTATTATTATTATTATGGATTTGTTAGTTGGTAGTTTGCTTTAATTCAATACAGCAATTTAAGAGTAATAATTTTATAACACAAGGTATGTTCAATCAGTATTTTATTATGTATGTTTTTTTATTCATTATATACATGACAAGCAAATTGAATATATGCCAAAGTCACTATTAATAACATTTCAACAAACTACTCAGATGAAAATGAGCTAAATTTTTTTAAGGAATCAATGACTAATTCTATCATTGTACAACTGACAACTGCACTAACACAATTTTGCCTAAAAAGAAATCACAAAGTCACTGATTAAAGAATTTTATTAAATAAGTGAATAAAATTAATAAAGTGTAAAAAATGCTCATACCCTGAGTTTTATGTTTGTTTAATATGGTGAATATAAGAAAGTAATACTTACATGCACTTAAACATTACATTTATTCAATAGTAAAATAAGATAGAACTGGTTTATTACAAATTAGGTTTTATAGTTTTCTTCTGTTTTTATAAAGTGGGCTTATCATCATTAAACCACACAATTGTGTATCATATGATTTTCATTGTTAGATGTGTACTTTCCTTGTCTTCTGTCTGGCAAAGTGATCAATGATTCTGCTGAAATCCAAAGTACATGCTAATTGGTTTTCAATTGCAAGGGCTTGCAGATTTGTCAGTCAGAGTTTGGCAATGGTTGAGTGTATATAATGTTTTTATCAGTTTCAGCTAGCTAAAAGATCTCACCTCTTCTGCAACCATGACTGGAATTGAGAAGAAAATGCAAAGGGCTATAGAAACATTTGGGAAAAGTGTATGTAGCTTGAATTTGTGCAGTTTGTTTGAAGATCTAAAGGATTTAATGCAGTATCACAAAAGTTAGCTTTTTGTGGATGGTTTTTAGATTTTTTATTTTTTCCACTAAGTCTTCTGACACATCAGATCTATACTTGGCAATAAACTCCCTAGTTTTCTCTGATATATCTGGGATAATACCACAAAAAAGAAAAAATCTTATTAATATTCATGACTGCTCTATGTCTTATAGTGAGCCCAGCAATAACAGAATTTATGATGTTATAAAATGTGCTTTTTCTGATTTAGGTAAGAGGTCACCTTCATTTTCATTATGAAAGTACTTGGGAACTGCTTTCCATTTTGCAGGCAGTTGTAGCTGAAAATTCATATTATCTGCAACCAATATAGGTTCATTAAGAATTGAGCTCCAATATTCACACAGTATTTTTAAATCAGTCAACAAAGTTTTAATGTCGCTCACTTCAATATCGATGGTAGCGTTGAGGGCCTGCAATACCTGATTGATGATCACAAGTATCTTTAACCAGATTCCAGCAATCAAGATAAAAAAAAAATGACTACACGTAGTCAGTTATACATTTCATTTCAGTTCTTGTTTGAAATGTAGGATTGAGGTAAAGAATTTCTGATAGTGCATCCAAAATCCCAGGAAGATGAGCTGCTAAAGACATAACTGTCAATTGTGTTCCCGAAAATCCATGAAGAGAACAGGCTATATTCTTGAGAAGAATGCTCTATCGCTGTGAGCTACAAATAAATAGGTTGTAAAGCTTTTGAACCATTCCAAAGAATGTCTGAGCCTCTGTGCAACTTTCTGCTGCTTGTGCTCCACAAAGATTGAGACTATGACAAGCACATGGTGAGAATTTAGCCAGAAGATTAACTTTTAGTCATAAAGCTTGAGCACCATTATACTCACCAGCTATGTTGGACCCATTGTCATATCCTTGGGCTCTGCAATCCATTATTGATATTTCATGGTAGGCTGAGCAATCAAATATTAGTTCATAAATATCAGCCCTGGTCTTCTTATTGCAATCAATAAATCTTAGAAAGCTTTCCTAAATGACAAAGGTAGAACATTCTGACAGCATGGATACATACCTCAAGATAAAAGTCATCTGTTCTTGATGAAATGATTTAGGTGTTGCATCTGCTATGATAGCAAAGTATTTTGCTGCAAGTCTTTCCTCTAAAATAATGTGACATACATGCTGAGCACAAGTTGCTATGAATTCATTCTGGGACTCACCTGACAATTAGTGGACTTGAAGTCAGTAACCTGTTTGTTGAAATTCTATAATTCTCTCTCTATATGCTCCCTTAGAACTAGATTGTAATGACTGAGCAGCTCTTTTATTCCTAAAAAATAAACCATTATCAGGTGCACAAATCCTTAGTGATGATTCACAAAAGGCTAAACTTCTCTCTCCCAAGAAAAGGACAGTATCTATAATCTTCTTTAGGATATCCTTCCATTTGGCTGCTCTTGAAAGAATATTCTTCTGAAACTGCAAATCCACATAGAAGTTTGCTCCAAAATGTCTCTCAAGCTCATGCCACTCAGTATAGCATTTCCTATGATGAACACTTCTCCCATGCTCTGGAAGCCTATCATAAAGCTTCTTCAAGCCTACTGTTAGCAGCCAGCCTTTTACAGTTGTAATTGTAGAGCATGATGTAACTGGAGTCTTGGTAAGAAGTCAATATTACTCCAAACTAGCCAGTCATGTTTACTGTATTCACCAGCAAAGAATTGTAAAGAGAATTTGGAAAATGAAAATCTTTAGGGTACTGTACAGGTCCAGCTCTAACAACTAGCTCAAGGTTTTTAGCTGATACACTCTCAGTTAAAGTAACAACATCAAAGCCACTGAGCTGTTGTGGCTTTTCAGGAATATTTTTTGAAAGTGTTCCTCCAGTAATCATTACGTTGGGCTGTAGATAGTCATTTTGCTTTTCTGTAACAGGTCATGCTGTGAGATTTTCATTATCATTTGACATTTCATCATGCTCAGTTGATTTATTTGAAGAAACAGTACTTGCTTCTTGGTAATTACTGACATCAGACCCTGAATGGAAAGCTTTGGGCTGATCTTCACTTTTCTTTTCAAAACCAACAACAAAAAGACTTTATTTCCTCTACTTTCAGCATATTATTTCTACTGTTTTAATTTCCTCTTTTTGTATACCATATATATGCTTATATTGTTGAGATATTCCTCAATAGGAAAGGGATTTTAAGCTGGAAAAAAAAAAAAATTTTGATATCTGTAAGTCAATAAATAAATATATAGTTATATATATATATATTCATACAGCAAACTGAATTCTAGGTTTATATATCTAGAAATATTATTCATAACAATTTTGCAAGTGAAGGTTAGTAATAAAAATAACTAAGATTCAAGGTTTTTCACTCTTCTTCTGACAAAAAAGAAAAAAATAATGAAATTGCTTAATGAAAAATCATACTGTAGAGGTATGAACATATGTATATCTATATATATATTTCTTACTATACATATTTTTTCATATATAATAAACCATACTATCCCGGCTATTTTAACAAAAATATTGGAAACCTACCAACAAAGAGGAAGTCCATTTTGCATGCAACTCAACCAGTTTCTACTGTCCAAGTGACAGTCAGCCTGCTATTGGCAACATGATGTTTAGGAATATGCTTAACCCTCTCACTTCAGGTAGAGTGCATAGCACATCATCACCTTTTGGAGATTCACATTCAATTAAAATGAACCTCATTATTACTGACTTGTATGAACAAACTTGGTATCAAGACAGAGATAATAAATCAAATTTTTATATAATTTCATATGTCTTAATTTGCTAAGAAAATATTTAGATAAATTCTTAAACTCACCATATATGACAAGCATGATGCAAGTTCTCTAAATCTTCTGTCTTTGATAATTTACCTACTACCCTTTTTGAAGTACAAAGTCTAATGTAAATTGATAATACTATACTATGGATATTCCAACAAGAAGTGTAATTTTCCCAGGCTTGAATTTCCTTGTCTATGTAGCTATCAATTAAAAAGTGAGATGCATTTCTCACGCCCACCTCAAACATGCTTTATTTTAAAATCAGTCAATAGAAAGACAAAGTTTTAATCTATAAGTGGTGTATAAATTCATGTTGTTTTTTTGCTGTAGTGTAAAAGACATAGCTCACCAAGTTTGAAAATTTCTGTGGTACTGTTCAGATAGAGTATCTAATGGATTTTGTAAGGTGCTTATGCAATAGTTAGAAAGCCAGTTAAAGTATAATACTTATGGGATATTGTTGGCTTGTTGCTTGTTATTATCTGTGTTCTTAGGTGCATTTTTAAATAAAGAAATAAATATCTAGTATACCATTTAGAATTACATAATTAAATATGGTAGATTTGGCTGAGCACTCACCAAGTGTTTCAGTTATATATGGTTCAAAAAGGCAAGAAAACAATAAAATTAAGTAAAAAGGTTAAATAAAACATTACACACCATAATTTAGTTTTTAGTTACAATCTGCAGCCATTCTAGAAAAAGAAAAGGGTAATTTAGAGTTATTTTTTTATGATGGTTACAGGGTCAGTCAAATCCTAAACAGTACATTTTATGAGAAAGTCAAGTCACGTGAAACTACTTGGGGAAACACAATCCTGTCCTTTAGACTGAACAACTATCAAATTTAGCTTATAATATAATGATTTACCCTACTATTTTATGTTAATATCGATCAAAAGCAAATTTGTATAAAGAAGAAAGTACGATGATGTAAGTTGAACTACTTTACTTGAAGCTGGAATGGACAACAGTATTGCAACCACCACATTAGAGGGTTATTCAAATTGAAAACTCAGCTAACCCTTCATTTGGCTACACATAATAAATTATCAAAAATGTGTATAAAAATCTCAATTAGGGGATACATCATCAAAATGCCTCATGATCAACTTTTGATAATTACACATGTAACTGACAAGTGTTTCTACGAGCTTGGGGGGAGGTATTATATGGGGTGAATTAAATGACATAACATTGTAGTACATAGTGTAGAAGTCATAGTATCGTTACGTCTCCGTTCGTCAGTTAATTTTCCGTAACTTCGTTCCGACGAAACTTTAGCGACACAAGTCCTTTCTTAAATAAAACTGGTTTATTCTTTCTGAATATAACTTTACGATACACTTAATTTCAACAGTCACGCTATAACAACGAACGTCTCACGTGCCCAACTTCAACAATACTCCGTTCAATTACACACTCTCTGACTGCAGCTCAATTACTCATTACCTTGTTGTCCCGTCACGTTGTGAACGTCCTATATATACAAGACTAACTCATATCTAATAAATGCTAGGGCATTCTTGAAATAACAGGATATTTCTAGAAAGAGGTGGCGTGATACTAGTCACGTAACCTCGCTGACGCAACAGTATTTTCTCATACACTCCACTTTTTGTCTTCTGACTATGTCAGTTGTGGCAGTGCATATTTTAACTGTTTGCAATGTATGATAATCTTTATATTTATTACTTATATTGTCTCTCTGATATTTAGTCAATTACTTTATTATTATTTTTTTTATCTCCAATCTCTTCCAGGCACAGGGTATTTTTCCCTGTATCCCTGAGTGTACTACTACTACTACTACAAGTTTAAGCTAAAGTACTCTCTAGAACTGGTAATGTCCTTAAGTACAAATGTACATGGTTTAACCGAAATTTTGCGTCCAAGTATTGAAGTAAGGTACGTTAATAATAGTAGTTCAAATTACCATCTGCTGTGACGGTAGTAGAACTGAAATAAGTACAAATGCATAACGTCTATTCGTAGCGTATCTTTACATCTATCTAACCGAGTCTAACTTCTAAGTAAGGTTGGGGCTATGCAGTATGCATCATGAACGATATTAATTATTAATATTATACTACATTACTACTAGTACTATTATTATTTGGATGAGCTGTTTACTACTAGGTTAGAAATATCTTATTATTAATATTAATGTAAATTAAAAATTAATTTTTACTAATTTATAGTTATACGTAGATATACGACATTGTATTAGTATGACTATCACTAGTTCACAGCATATTATTGAATTTTTCTAAATGTTTATATATCATGTTTAGTCAGGATAATTCTGAAATACAAAATATTTATTGGTCACGTGAAACAAACAAAAAATCAGCTAGACCAAATACCGCATATCTACCTTTTGTAAACGTCTTGTTGCTGCCATTTTCAGAACAATAATTACGCATAAAAAAAAACGTAGAAGCGTCCTCTAGCTTCTAAGACAATATTTAATGGCCAAAAACAAGAATATCACGCATGCTAATAATAATACAAAAGTCCTGAATGTGTCTTAACACAATATAATGTTTTGGGACAACATTGGACCTATTAATCCATTTCGGCTGTTTCGTTCTCTAAACTATTTTTTTTTTAAATCTTATAATTCATATGCTTATCAAGCTTTTCCTTAAACTCACATAAATCTAAATATAACGATAATTAAACAAATAAAACACTAAACAGTAATCATGGGGAGAAACTACAGCAAGAAAACACAACGAAAAAGAAAAAGGTAAAATCAGTAATACGAACATATTAAAATATGTGTAATTTAAATGAAGACTGCATGTTGTTCAGTGTTGGGGAGTGCTGTTTGATGTGGAGGGTTTCTTTGATCAATAATTCCAGGTCAGTATTAGACTTGCAGAGGATAGAGAAATTTGATAGTGTTACGACATCGAGGTCACGTGACTAGTATCACGCCACGTAATTCTCGAACATTCACGTCTTTTCCTTAAATCTCGTGATCCTTCTAGATATAGTGTAGTCTTGTATATATAAGACCGGCCACGAAGCGAAGGGGAGGTAATGAGTCATTGAATGTATGTGGAGAATATTGTTGGCCACGTGAGACGTGAGTTATAGCGTTTGTTATAGAGCGACTGTTGAAATTAAGTGTATCGTAAAGTTGTATTCGGGAAGAATAAACCAGTTTTATTTAAGAAAGGACTTGTGTCGCTAAAGTTTAGTCGGAACGAATTTACGGGAAATTAACGAACGAACGGAGACGTAACAAATTGGTGTCAGAGAGTGGGATAAAAAAATGGAAACGAGAGGCGGCAAATCAAACTACAGCTTAGCAGATTTGATGGCAGCAATACAAGAACAGCAAAAGAAACAAGAAGAATGAGAAAAGAAACAAGAAGAACGAGAAAAGAAACAAGAAGAACGAGAAAAGAAACAAGAAGAATGAGAAAATAAACAAAAAAAGAAACAAGAAGAACGAGAAAAGAAACAAGAAAAGAAACAAGGAGAACGAGAAAAGAAACAAGAAGAATGAGAAAATAAACAAGCAAAGAAACAAAAAGAACAAGAAAAGAAACAAGAAGAGAGACAACAGCAGTTGCAAGAAAACATGCAACAGTGGCAGCTGAAACAACAAAATAAACAAGAAAGATTACAGCAGTTGTTGGAGGAAAAAGAAAAGAAACAAGAAGAGAGACAACAACAGTTGCAAGAAAACTGCAACAGTGGCAGCTCGAACAGCAAAATGAACAAGAAGAGAGATTACAGCAGTTGTTGGAGGAAAAAGAAAAGAAATAAGAAGAGAGATTACAGCAGTTGTTAGAGTAAAAAGAAA